CCAATTTGTTCTTATTCTAAGAACCCCGAACAATCAAACTGCCTACCAATTTGTTCTTATTCTATCTGATGATCTAAACTCCTAAGGTCTATGCATCTAATTCACCGCCTACAACGGGCGGCGGTGCGAATCCCGACTAGGATCTCTCCTATCTATCTGACACTCCGACCTCCCCAGACCACCTGTGTGAGTAATTCACTCACCTGCCTGCCCACTGCGGCAGTTTAACCGAGTGCCCTGCTTCACCATATGTGCTTTTGAGGATGGTACGTTTTTTCTTTTTTGTTCTTTTCTTGTTTTTGAAAGAGCAACGGCAGGCCTTAGATGAATTCAGAGTTATTTTCACTCATCTGATTGCACTGGGATTCGATCTCAGGTCTGTATTTCAACACTTTGTGAGTGTACCCACTGAGCTAGGTCAGTTCCAGTTTTTGTCAGTCAGAGCATGATATAGTGTCGCACTCCACTACTCTAGACTCGTGAAAACTCTGGAGTCCGTTGCTGCTCCACTTACTCTCGAAGGCACTTGAGAATCCCCTTCGAGAGTTGTCAGAAGCCACTATAGTGTCGCACTCCACTACTCTAGACTCGTGAAAAATCTGGAGTCCGTTGCCGCTCCACTTACTCTCAAAGGCACTTGAAAATCCCCTTCGAGAGTTGTCAGAAGCCACTCCCCAAAAGCACTCTCGAACAGTCCACAGCGTGCAACTTCCCATTTCTCTAGCGTGGTCGGTCATGCCCCTGGTGCAGCCTCGATTTTTTTCGCGAGTGGACGTGGCACCACGGCTGACCAACGAACCATTTAGTTGTTGCTGTTGGGCAGTGATGTCGTGTAGTGCACTTGAACTTTTTTGTGAGTCCCGCCTTCCAGAGTAACTGGAGAGAAGGCGGGAATTTCGTGAGGTTTTGCTCCCTGACAGCTCGAGACGAACTCTCAAAAATTTTCGGGATCTAGAGTAGTGGAGCGAGACCCATAGGACGTCACTCCACTCCCCAACACTTGTCATGCACTTGGACCCCTTTCTGAACCTGGTACGTTCAAAATGTTGGACTCGTCCAAATGCAGCTGGTCCAGAAAGCATTCAAATGCATGTGGAGTGTTGTGTAGTGGAGTGACACCCATCGTCATCCATTGTAGGGGGTTCCTGCGCCGGTCATGAAACCAGCATCTCTCTTGTGCAGCAACTCAGGCAGGCACCCACCCACACGTAGCCATCCTGGCAAATGGGGAAAACACACCTACCTAGAAAGCAAACAAAACATGAACCCATCTTAATATCCTTGTTTCCTGTTGTTAGATCACAGTGAAAAAAAGGTCAGTCAAAAGACTAAAACAGACCTTCGTTACTTTCAGAACGAAACATTCGTTTCCCATCTCTGCTTTGATCGCCGTCCGGGGGACTCGAACCCCCGACCACTAGGTTAAAAGCCTAGCGCTCTACCAACTGAGCTAGGACGGCAACCCAACAGAGTATTCTGGCCACATGCATGTCTTCTATGACTCGTCCAAAACGTTGCTCACCTGTTGGGGTGGGTGTATCTTATACCCCAATCTTATACAGACAGCTGGGGTAGTTCGTGGAAAAGCATCTCTTTTTTTTTTTTTTTTTTTTTTTTTTTTTTTAAAGCTATATTTTTCTCTCAATTTCACCTCACACTACCTACCTACCACTACTCACTGCCCGAGTTATGTGCTATGTTTTTTTTTCAATTATTATTTAATAAAATTACAAAGACTATGTTGTTCTTTACTTCCCAGCACGTGCTGGTCCCCCTTCCATGGTACCATGGTACGGTTCCAGCAGGTGCTCGTCCCCACCAAAAGGACAGTTCCAGCTGTGATTTCCCCCAAAAGTGGGAAAGAAAAGCTCACTGCTTCAACCGTGCTATTACCCATTAGCTCACAACGATCCCGCTGGGGATCGAACCCAGAATCTCCGGTTCCGTAGACCGGCGCCTTATCCATTGGGCCACGGGACCACATGCCATGGCATTTTAAAGTGTCTTTTTAAAAACGGGCACTTCAATAGGAAAACCTTCACTTTCGAAGAATCCCTGTATGGAACGTCGGAAAACTTAGTGAGAACGGACCGGAAATAAAGTGCGAGAACGGAACGGAAATAAACTGAAAGGGAACAAACGGGAGGGAAACATCGGGAACGTCGGAAAACTTAGTGAGAACGGACCGGAAATAAAGTGCGAGAACGGAACGGAAATACACTGAAAGGGAACAAACGGGAGGGAAACAAACAGCAGTCGGCCACATCGGGCGAAACAACGGAGTCGTAAGCCTCTGCTTCTGAAAAGTCTCCCTCACATGGTCGAACATTTGCCTTGGCCACAGGGCCCTGTAATAAAAGCTCGATTTGAACAAAAGGGGGAGAAAAAAGGGAAAACTAGGGCACTGTCACGGTTGGTTTCAGTTTGAAAATGCATTTCAGTCACAATTCCGCGACTGTTGTGCCAAACCAAGGAAAATCGTGACTGTATACAACCCAGCTTTAGCGTTGGGTGGGGATGTGTTGTATTTGAGGGATGCCTGCGGTGGATTTAAAACTGAAATTGTTGACTGCACCCTGGTTACCCCAAAAGACAAAGAAACGTCTTTTCCGGCCTGAGTCGTTGTCGTTAAAAGTACTTTGTCAGTCGTCGTCGTCGTTCAAATACTTCGTCAGTCTTCGTTGTTCAACTAGTTGTCGATAAAGTTGGCCAACAAACGGAAAAAAACTATGGGAACAAACTGGAATCGGTCATGATAAGGGAAAAAAATAGGGGAACAAACTGAAATCGGTCAAGGTAAGGGGAAAAAATACGGGAACAAACTGAAATCGGTCATGATAAGGGTTTCTCTTCTTCTTTTTCTTTTTTTAACAAGAACCTTAGCTCATATTAATGCCACACAAAAGAGAGCCAATGGGACCACTAGCCAGATTAGGTGCATACTTCGGGAATATGGTCTAGATGCAGATTTAGCCAACTGTTACACACGACTGCTGCTCTGACTATTCCGCAACCCTGGATTCCGGGAAACCATACGGCCTTCGAGGCCTTGTCTTTTTTTTTTTGTCCCTGGAAAGAAAAGGAAGCCGTACGGCCTTCAAGGCCTTTTCTTTTTCTTTTTTTTTTCTTTTAGAGGCTTTTGCACCAAGTGCGAAGCGATAGGGGCCTGATGATTGGGTTTCTCTGCCATGATTGGGTTTCTCCTGCCGCGCTTAAACAGGCTCGCAAACAATGAACGTAGTAGCCCAGTTGGGACACACATGAACTGTTGAAATAGAGACCCGAGTTCGAGTCAAAATGTAATCAGATGAACGGAATAAGATTACTATTTTTCTTTTTTTTTTAACAGTCTTCTCCTCATTGCAAGGAAGATGAGCATTAGCGAGCTCCAGCAATCAAACAGCATCATACATATGAGTCCAGATAGTCTTGACCTCGAACCAACAGCAGAAATGCATCACGAGATTCACCAAATAAGAACACACCAATAGTTCGTAATTGACAATGCTGAAATAGTCTCTCATCATCATCAACGAAGAACAAGAGTTGGTATCCTATTGGCGCTCGGCGCCCAGACTACATGTGGCAGATCCTATCTAGCCTAATACTACAATGCCGATGTTGACATCAACAGCTTCCTGAAGTACGAGCATACAGCGGGCAATGCCGCATGCTTCCAGCACCAGGTATGTCTCTCGCAACACTCACAACCCCGATCCACACCACACAGATGCCACTAGCACCCAAGGACCACCCTGCGCCACACCCAGCTTACAGCGGAGCAGCTCGGCTATGGCTGCCCGCTCCTTCCTGCTCGCCCGTGAGATATGCATGCCAGCCAGCAAATAGCGCAGCAGCGCTCGCGCAGCATGCAGCCAGCACCCGAATGCCGAATGAGGAGGCAGGCCCTTCCCTATATCGAAGTGGCCTGCCTGCGTCCAGTCCAGGAAGCTTCCAGTAGGCCCCGGTAGGCACAGGCCCAGACCTCACACGCAGGCCCAGCGCCTGATGGTTGCATGTGCCCAACTGCCCAACGGCCTTTCCACGCGTCTGGCCCAGGTCCCCATTCAGATACATTTGCAAAATATGGCCTGGGCCTGGGCGCCTTCAACCAACTGGCGCAGCGCAACTGTCTGAATTTCACCAGTTGCGGGGTACCCTGAAAATCGAGGCCCTGAGGGCCTGTCGCGCCTGCCTTCACTTAGGGCGGCCGACTTGCTGCAAAAAGGGGCCCGAAGGGGCTGAGCGGGCGTAGCCTCGCATTCCCTCCTCCATATCTTCGTTAGTCCTCTGAGAAGATCAATCCTGATCCATCTGGCGCTTTCCTTTCAATACATCCTTCTCATAACGGGCAACGATTTGAGGAGCAGTCTGCATCAATTCCTCCCGAGTAAACCAGCGGTCCTCCTTCGGATCCGTGTGATGTCTGAGGTGGACACGAAACTGCAGCTTTGGCTTTGGAGGACGTCCCCTTCCTGGAGGCTTCTGAACGGGCATCTCCCTGTGGTCAACGATATCATCGATGTCGACTTCTCCGTCCATGGTTGGGGGCAGCATTGACCGACGAGAGGGAAACTGATCAGTTTCCTCGAACGCAGCGAGCTTAGAGGCGTGAAAGACTGGTAAGTTCTGAGATGACCAGGGATACGGATGACATAAGATGGACCATCAGGATCTGTCCCTACTACGTCTAAAACTTCCCAAGGTCCAAAGTACTGAGGCATGAGTTTGCGGGATCTCCCGAACTCCTGTCCCAGTTCTGAAGACTTGACCCAGACTCTGTCCCCAACTTGAAATGTAGAAGGGCGGCGGTGTTTATTCTCAGATTCTATCATTGCTGCCTGCGCCTTCTGCATGTGCTCTACAGCCTCCTGCATTTTCTGTTCGTAACGATAAGCGAACTCCAAAGTGCCCGGTGCAACAGTTGGCTGGTTATCAGGAAGTAGGAAGTCTAAAGGCAGTCTAGGCCTAAAGGTAAGATGTAGACTATTAGGACTTACCCCGGTAGCGCTGTGTACAGCGTTATTGTACAGACTGGCGACAAGAGCAAGCTTCTCGTCCCAGTCCACCTGATTGGGCTTAATGTAATGCCTCAACAGGTGTTGAACAGCGCGGTTCATCTGTTCAGCCTGGCCGTTTGCTTCTGGATGGTTTCTAGAAGTCATTTGCAGTTGAGTTCCCTGTTCAGCTGCAGCGGCCTTCCATAACTCACTTGTAAATCTGACATCCCTGTCACTTACAATAGACTTAGGCAATCCAAAATCCCTCACCCAGTTCTCTTTGAACAGCCTGATTACATACTCGGTCTTCGGCATGGCTATTAACCTAGCATACTTACTAAACCTATCCACGATGACGAAGATCTGCCTCATCCCACTCTTGCTGGTGACCAGTGTATCCATGAAGTCCATGGACAAGCTTTCACCCGGCCTTTCCGGAATCGGAAGGGGCTTGAGCAGCCCAAGAGGAGCCTGAGTACGGGGCTTGTCTCGTTGGCAAACTTGACAAGTTTCCACGTACAGCTTAGCATCTTTTAACATCGTGGGCCACCAGAACCTTCGCAGCAAATTGGCTGCAGTCTTCTTGTACCCAAAATGGTCGGTGGCGTCATGACACTCGCCGAAAAACAAACTACGCAAAGACTCTTTATCAGGGATACACAAACGTTTATTCCCTTCCTTCTCGAGAAACAGCAAGCCATTGACTAACTCAAACTCGGCTGAAGTTTGTTTATCCTTCGCCTCGAGTCTGCATATGATCTCAGACATAAATTGGTCCTCTCGATAGGCTTCCACCAAGGATCGAGTGACATCTTCCGTAAGATCGTACTCAGTAATCAGCGCACCTGAGAAGTCAGGTCTACGTGACAAGGCATCAGCAACCTTATTGTACTCACCCTTAATGTACTGAGGGTCAAAGTCATACTGCTCAATGACTTCTATCCAACGCTTCAATGCGTCAGAGAGTACAGGCTGAGTTCTCATCCATCTCAAGGTCTGATGGTCAGTCCTGAGGATGAAGAACCTCCCAAGGAGGTAGTGTCTCCAATGGGTCAGCGCCTTGAACACTGCATAGAGTTCTTTCTCATAGGTGGACTTAGCCAACTTCTAAGACGACATTTTCTTGGACATGTACTCGACAGGCCTCAACTTTGCCCACTTTTCGGTCCCAGTCAAACTGAGGTTGTGCCACAGAGAGGTAGTACATACCTAACAAGATATCCATAGGGAGATCGTCGCTGACTAGGAATGAGACACGATGCCTCAACTCCCCTCCCGCGAACGGGAACAGGCATTCTACATCCTGAAGGTAGTCATTGACTACCATGCGCTGTTTGTTGGCACAGGTCGACTCCACAGGTCGACTCAGGCGCTGCACTTGCCCCTGTAAATGCAGCCTCTCAACGCACGCGCGACTAATAAAGTTCCGTGTCGAGCAAGTGTCATAATAGGCCCCGACCTTGCGGCCGCCTACGACTATCTTGCTGACGAACATCTCACCCTTCGGGGCTTTAGCTAGTGCCGTCCAAGAAGCTAGCGGGTCTAGTCTAGACCACTCCTCCTCTAGCTCCTCTAAGGACTCAAACACATTCATCGAGCAAAGGGTCGATGGGTCTGAATGTGTTTGCGGGACGACAAGGGAATCAGTCGCTTGGGCCATGGTGTGAGATGGCGAGGGTGTCTCCACCACCTCATACCTAGTAGGAACAGCTACTATTCCTACTGACCTGACGTGTTTCCCGGAGCAGTGCCTGATGAACTGGCAACATTGCTACCTACGGGAGATGAGGATCCTACCTCCTGCCCCATAGTAGGCGGGATCTTATCGGTGACCTTCTTGTTCCTACATTTGAACTGGTTATGGCCGTATTGACCCAACGGATGCAGGCCTGACAGTTCCACCGATCTCTCCACACGTCCTCAGAAAGACCCGCTTTCTCCTATGGAGGAGCATTGGGGTCAACTTGATTCCTAGACCGGGAGCCCCCTCGGCGTCTACCGGTCCCCTTACCTTTTTGTTGGGTTACGGCGGCGACTACTCC